ATACTTCTTTAGGCGCGTTATGAAAAAATGATGAGAGTGAAATTTTTAGATGCGCGCGTATCACTGTAACCCAAAAGTAACAGCATGAAGTTGGCCGCGGGCGCGTTATGAAAAAATCATGTGAGTGAAATTTCGAGATGCGCGCGCATCACTGTAACACAATAGTAACACCATGAAGTTAACCACTTAGTGGTTAATAATCCACCATTATTAGACATCTGTTCGAAAGGTACTTTGAACGATCCACGGAGCTCCATAAGATGATCGCGTTGTCAAAAACAATGTGGGCACGCTCGTCGCCTCTGATCACTGTTTTCATATATATATTATTTATCCACATGTTTCTAGTTTCTATATAGACACAACGTGTTTTAGTTACTTATAAGTGCTAATTACATATGGACTAATAACTTAAATTCAGTAGTGATTTTAATTGAATATTTTGAATATTTATTTAATTTTTCAAATTAAAACTGAACTTAATTGACTGTGTTAACTATCCTTTTCCAGTCCTTTTATTATTTTATTGTAATTATTAATTATTTGCATGCAATTAAAAAATATTTTTAATGATGCTAAAGAAGTATAACTTCTCACGCGCGTACATAAGTTACACGCATCCATTTTTTTTAATTCATACAACTACACCAAAGTACCAGCATGCATCAGTGTGAATGTGGCTGTCTCATGAAAAAGCTCTTGGGGCGTTGGGATTTAAAAATCGAATGAGTGTTATTATGAATTTAGTATAACTTTATAACACCCAAACGGGTGTTATATATGTTTTATTTTTATTATGACATTGGATGTTTAAATGTTTGTAATAAGCTGTTTTAGAATCTTTAATAGAGGTTTTAAAGCATGGTGTACATAATATAATATTATAAATACTCATTCAAACTTTATTTGCTTCTTTGTTACGTCTAATTCGAAGTCACGCGTCAAGTGTGGTTCTTTTTAGTGGCATTGTACATGGGTATGAATGAATGAAATATAAATTTACTGTAGCACACAAGTCAACTTCATAGACGGTTTCGTAGCCGTAGCACGTGTAGCACTGTATATTCCGTAGCACGAGCGTCAAATTAATATAGTGCTCTATTTTGCCATAACATGGCATTTTTTTTGCCATAGCACTGCTCTAATGGCAAAACTCCACATTGCATTTAGTATCCTTAGTACGAACTAATATCGAATTCGTAACGTTTGCGAGTACGAATTGTCATTGTCAAATGTGAACTGATTGTTTGTTCTCGTTAAGTACTTTGTGGTACTGCTGTTCAAGTTTCCATACAAAATTTGACATTGACATTTCGGTTTGCAAACTATTCGAATTCGATAATGGTTCGTGCTAGGGGCACTGATTGTTAGTTCTCGTTACGTACTTTGTGGCACTGCTGTTCAAGATTCCATACAAAATTAGACAATGATATTTCGGACTCGCAAACTATTCGAATTCGATATTGGTTCGTGCTAATAGTACAGAACACTACAGTCCTCGAGTTCGAACCTTGATGACAAATTAAGAATTTCGAATTGTATTTAATGAATAAACATCAATAGATGCCCAGTCAACCCGTCTACTCATAAGCGCACTACGTAAAGTATACAATTGTAGGTCGTTCGTAATTTTCATTTCCACATCCCGCCATATTCGCAGCATAACTATATACAAAAACTGATCTTATGTATGCTGAAAATATCGGCTGCCAAACTCTAAGTGGATAGCCGTGTTCGTTCATCAAGTGACAATTTGTGACATTGAAATAGGTGCAGTCAATAGTAATTTGCGATCCGACTCATTTAGTTGGATATGAAATATTAGGTTAGTTTTTCGAAGTAATGGCTGTTAAACCTCTTAATTTCAAAATGAACGTAACATAGATGAATTTGTAATGGAGTAACTTTTATATTCCTCATAAGTCCTTGTTAACCTGGATTAAACTTTATTTTTTGGTACTGTGTTCTGATTTTAACAAGCCTGATACTTTACGTTGGACGAAATTATTGCTAACGAACCCTAATGTGGAATCTTTACTAAAAAAATGTTGATAATATTCAGATACCAAAAAAAATGCATAAGTTAGTCGCAACTACTATACAGTCGAGCGATATGATGAGTGAATAGATGCATATATAAATTATCTTTGTAAAAAATTTTGCTTCCATTTTGTTATCAATAGTAGTGGCAATGACTACTTCATTACACGTACTTACAAAACAAAAAACCACGGGTAGCACTCCGGGAGTGCCGGCAGAAGTGAAAACTTGAATATTAACGTTGTGCATTTTTGATATTTTGGAATGGTTAGGGAATAATTTTGCACGAATTATTTATTATCAGTATAAAAGTGGATATCATGTATGTGGTTGACTACAATATTTATTTATTGCGCTATCGTACACAAACATGACAATTTATATTACAAAATAAAAAAGTTTATCTCTCAGAAAAATCAACTTACATGAATCACGTTTAAGCGCACTTAATGACATCTATTGTAAAGAAATCAACTTACATAAATCACATTTAAGCGCAACTAGCGTCATCTATTGTAAAAAAAATAATTTTCTTCGCAATAAAGCTGCCACGTGGACGTCCTAGATAGACTTATTATTATAATACGGTAAAATAAAATATTACTATGTTTCGTCCAATATATTGAAAGTCTGTTGACTTTCACCTTTCCAATTTTATTTTGTGTCATGATGCGATCAGCCCACGTGTTTAACCTGACGCGAGTTTAACATTTTTTACCCATACAAAAAAAAAGTATACAACGCCGCTCAAGAAGTTTTCACTTCAAAAATGCGTGAGCGTCGTGGGAACACTCGGTTGGAGGGAAGTTAAATATATTTGTAATAATATTAATAATCATTTATTTAAGACCGAATAGTCGATAGAGCGAGGCAAGGAGCTCGATGGCGCAGGTGGTTAGCGCGTTCGGCTGTGATCGTTGTAGCTATGCAACTTTCACCGTTGTTCGTCATTGGATGGGTGACCAAAAATCTTGTATCTCGAGTTTCTCCGTGCTTCGGAAGGCACGTTAAGCCGTTGGTCCCGGCTGCATCTGCAGCCGTTAGCTCCCGCCAATCCGCACTGGGCCCGCGTGGTGGGTCATAGCCCAATCTCTATTCCAGCCATAGGGAAGGCCTCTGCCCCAGCAGTGGGGACATTAATAGGCAGACTATGCGTCCATAGAGCGTTAGTAACATAAAACTTAGAATCTATGTTAGTACTATTACTATTTAACCTATTTTCTATATTTAATAGACATGAGATTGTACCCAATGTTTCCACAACGGACTCTGCAATTTGCTTCCTATGACGGCCAAGATGCTGTTAGAGCTACCCCTGGTTCTGCACATCAGTGACGCTACTCTTTTGCGCACAATAGCGATGTAATCATCAACATGGGCGTCAGCAAACATCGTTGATGCGCTACAATATGCGGCAGCCCCATTAGCATCCTGAACGCGTTATTGTATTGGACACGCTGAGTGTTGATGACACGGCGCCTACAGTTGACCACAAACTACACGTATAGAAGATTTGGCAATAGGCCCGAAACAACGTTACCTTAACTTCATCTTAAATTTATATACCACCCACCCATGGAACTATTTCCATAAAAAAGTATCCTCAACACCAATCCGCACTGGGGCCGCGTGGTTGGCATTGGCCCAATCTCATGATTCTCAAACTATTAAACAAAACTTTAAACCAAGTCCACAGCCACCACCTTCATTGTTCGCTTACCTAGTTGCCCATCTAGCTACCCCCACCCTAGCTAGATAATGATGGAAGAATCTTAAATGTTTTTGACTTGATAACGTCTTATAAATCGATGAACACCGGCTGCCTGCACGAAAAAGTGTCACGTTCCGCCCGAGCCTCTGAGCGTGCAAGCGAGAGCGCAGAGCATGCGATAGAGAGGCACGATTGGCCCAAGCGTCGGCTTGTACACATTTATCTCTCTTCTCGCGTGATATCAGAGCTAGCAATTATGCAATTTTAGATTAATGTTTCATTATGACGTTATCGCGTAAAACTATCGTCCGTAAACAGACTTTACGGACAACCAATTTTTGCCAAGCCCTCATCGGCATACAGTCCAAAAAGAAACTTCATTCCAAAAACTAAGCCGATTTCATCAGCTAAGTGGACATTAGTTTTACTGTGGCAATATAAAGTCTATTAAGACTAGCTCTTTAGTTGAGGACATAAAAGTTAACGAACGTCTTCCTTAAACTATCATTCGACGCTTCTTAACTCGATCTAAAACTCGCAAAAACATTTATCCCTTCTACCCAATAAATTGATCGGTCACTTATTCTAAATACCGTGTATTTGTACAGAATCTGTAAAAAATATCAGTAAATTTTTAGAAATCAAATTTAGGAATTTAGGAGTTCTTTTATAAATACATTTTGTATTTTGCAATCAGAATAAACGTAGTCTCCGTTTTGTATTTTTTTAAATATTTTCCTCCTTTATTTCAAATGATCTTGTTTATACAATTATTTTCGTTGTTGCCCTTAGGATGGTTATGAAAATTCACTAACAAACGCAATGTTTCCATAATAATATCTCTAAGACACCTGGTAATTTGAGACCTTTACAAGGATGCTTTTAACCCCAGAAGTAAACAGTCGTTTTGTAATTCGAGTTTTCCCCAAGAGGGGAGACAAAAGTATTGTGGCTTTACTTGATTCGGTTAAAGCTCCAAATTTGAAACGGGCCAAACATTATTGTGTACTTCAAATTGCGTTTGGCCATGATAGAATTTTAATGAGCTTGTGTTTTCTAGAGATGGTATAATGATTATTCAATTTGACTCATAAATATTCAGTCTCGAAACAAATTATGCTAAAGGAATATATGTGAAATAAGCAACGCCTGCTCATATGATGTACCTATATATTGGTACCTGAGTTTCTTAACAGTCTTATATATAACTTATTATACATTTCCTAAAAGTGTAATATTTTATTTTCAGGTATTCATAAAGTCAGAATTGAAAGTCGGTGTGATATACGTCAAAGAAAATCAATACACAGAAGAAGAAATTTTGGACAATAACGAAAATTCACCGATGTTCGAAGAATTTTTGCAAGTTATGGGCGAAAAAGTTCGACTAAAAGGTTAGTTGATGTTTATGAAAATCCAAACTTAACTATTGTGAAAAACTAAGGAATTAGTTGACGGTCGCGTTATTTATTTCAATATAGTAAAAATCATCTTCAGTAAAATTAAAAAAAGAAATCTAATCAATTTGTATTTTTTACTAGCAGCATTCACGTACAGTGCCTTCTTATACACATATTGTATAAAAGATACAATTGTTTATAAAAGTTAATATTCGTGTGTAAGCAATAAATTTCCTTTATTGAGTAGCCATTTTCAAATAACGAATACAATATTTGTCAGTAAACATTTGGCAGCCGAAAGATATCATAAGTTTTGTTCCACTGGAATTTAAATAAGCACAACATTGACGACTGAATTCACTATTTTTACAGGCTTCGACAAATACAAAGGTGGTTTGGACACAGTGCACGACCTCACTGGCTTATACTCTGTTTACACCAACTGGAGGGGCATTGAAATCATGTTCCACGTCTCCACTCTGCTGCCTTATGAAAGGCACGACCCTCAAAAGCTACAAAGAAAACGGCACATTGGCAATGACATCGTGTGCGTTGTCTTCCTCGAGGCGGATAACACCGCCTTTTCGCCTGCCTGCATCAAGAGCCACTTCTTACATACCTTCATTTTAGGTAAGTCTTGGTTCTCCATGAACTAGATCATTGAGATCATGTTCCACCAGTCCACTCTGCCACATGAGAGACAAACTCTCGGACGCTGCAGAGGAAGTGACACATTGGCAATGATAGCTTGTGCGTCATATTCTTCTAGGCGGATAACTGCCTTCTCCCCTGTCTGCATCAAGAGCCTCTTCTTATATATCTTCAATTTAGGTTACTCCTAATTCTTCATCAACTGGATCATAGAGATCATGTTCCACTTATTCATTTTACCTTATGAGAGTCACGACCCTCAGAAGCTACAAAGAAAACGCATCGGCAACAACATCATGTGCGTTATCCTTCTCGCATGTTCCACCTGTCCATTTTACCTTATGAGAGGCACAACCCACAAAAACTGCAGAGGAAGCGGCGCATCAGCAATGACATCATTTATGTCGTCTACCTCGTGGCGGTAACCACCTCCTCACCTGCTTGCATCAAGAGTCACTTCTTGCATTTCTCAATTTTAGGTAAGTCCTAGTTCTTCATCTACTGGATCATTATCAAGTCTACGATATCTATAATAGCGGAATTTGTATGAAACATAAATTACATCAAAAATAAAAATAAAATCATCCAAGGTAGGTAGGTAGTCTGTTTGTGCATTCAAGACAAATAAGATGATTCAGGAATTCATATTCGTTTATTTTGTGCTTTTAATATCTTGTCATTTTAAGATTTGAAAAGTGAAACGTATTACATTTTAAGTCTATTTTTCACGTCTGGACTCTACCGTCACTTGCCATCAGGTGGAATCATTTGTTCGGACCTTTATAACACGTTTGAAATCCGCTATGCACCAGATTTATTTTAACAATATTTACCGGCCATTTTTTTCCCACAGTCCGAGTGTCAGCGAAGATAAAGCGTCGGCCTACGAGATATGAAGTGTCAGTGGTGACACGCGACGAAGTAGGAGCCTACAAGCCTTACCTCTGGGAGCAAAGCGTCTTCGATAAAGGCCCCATGTTCAGGTATCCATCATCAAATCCCACTACTGGGCACAAACCTTCACTATGGATGGAATTGGTGATCGGCCTATGACCCTCCACGCGGACCCAGTGCGGATCGGCGTGTGCTATGGACTGCAGATGCAGCCTGGACCAACAGCTTAACATGCCTTCGTAGCACGATGGAGCTCGAGATAATAAGTTTTGTTGACCCACCCAATGATCGGCCATTGCGGAAGACCTTATCATTCTATCATAACCAGCTTATTAATGTCCAGCCTGCTGGGGCACTGGCCTTCCTTATGGACGCGGGCCAGTGCGGATTGGTGACTGACTGCAGATGCCAGGACCAACGGCTTAACTTGCCTTCCGAAGCACAGCGAGCCTTGAAATAATAAGTTGTTGGGCACCCATCCAATGACTGACCCTTGCGAAAGTTGCTTAACTTCCACGATCGCAGGCCGATCCCGCTATCCACCTGCGCCATCGAGCTCCTCGTTCAAGTAACCATACCAATATTTGAGATGTGAAAGTTCGTATGACTGTCTATGTTATTACCTCTTGACGCTTAAAAGATTTAAATGAAATTCAGTATAGAGATAAAAATTAAAGTACTGGGCAAGGCGTTCTTACTTTGTAATAGCTTTTTATAAGTATTTTTCATTTTTGGTAATGGTAAGGGTTTGGTTATTTTATATACAGACTTCTACTTTAACGTTGATATAATGCACAATGATGCTGACGCCTTTCTAAATAACAATATTACAAATGAATTTTGGCAACTTTTGCCATGAATTTATTATAGGGAACAAATTATTCAAATTGGTAATAGTATCAGACCTGATGGAATTGTGTAGGGACTGAATTGATATTCTTAATTTTTGTTTTTTATTTCTTTAGCATTCAACTGAAAAAATTTCATTAAATTTAAACATTTGAAATTTAATGAAAATTTTACTAGAAAATATTCCACGCGGGCCAGACAACAGACGAGACTCTATGATATCTTATGTTTATTATAAGGTCTGTAGAGAAGCTCCAAAGCAAAGATGGATAGCGCGTTGGGCCTGCGATCGTGGAAGTTAAGCATTTTTCGCAAGGGTCAGTCATTGGATGGGTGACCAACAGCGTATTATTTCGAAGCCCGCTGTGCTTCGGAAGGCACGTTAAGCCGTTGGTCCTGGTATCTGCAGTCAGCCACCAATCCGCACTGGCCCGCGTCCATAAGGAAGGCCAGTGCCCCAGCACGGGGGACATTAATAAGCTGGTTATGAGGTAGGTATGTGTCACTTTGTAATTTATCGCTTAGAACTAGGTAAGGTAGGTAACCAACTTTTTTTCTATCAAATATAGTCTTTTCGAAGCTGATACCTCTAAAATATAGAAGATAGCAAAAAACTGAAAAAATAAATAGTATGTAGTTAAAATATTTACTTTATTTTTGAAATGAATATATTTTTGCTGCTCTACGCCTTAATAATCTTTTTTTAAGAAAGCTTTTACTGCCTTAAGTCTGCTTTAAGCAAAATATAGTTGTTTCGCCGACTATATATATTTTTAGTGACATAGTATTTGATCTCCTAATATAGTAGGATATTATATTATTTAGTAGGGTTGAAACCATACTTAGAACCGACATTCGCTAGGACTTTCGCTTTGAGGGTTAATTTCTATTTCCAATATTCAACCACTTCTTGGCGTTTCCCAGAGAATGGCTGCTGACGAAAATAGTGAATGGAGAAAGAGCATCCTACTCTGCACCGAAATTCGCAAGAATGCAAGAGAGAACTCGCAGCCAAATGCTGGAAGACATCGTTGCCAACCTACAAAACCACGCCGAGACCGGACAGATACCGAAACCATATCGAAGAGGTAATAAAAGAATTAAATATCTTATAAATAAATCTAAAAACTACGAAAAAACATACTCAAATGGAAAAATAAACATCGGCATACTAAGTCTAGAAGCAATCAGGAATGAATTGGATTTGAATAAGTTTACACGTAAATTTAATTTCCAAATATACAGGTTGGTCCAACTAGTGACATCAACAATTTTTTTTTAGATTCCCCGCACCTGGGGTTATCCGAAAATACCCCGTGTATGTTCCGCGATTTTTCTTAGTTTTCGAGTTATAATTTTTTTGTGTATTTTTAATGATTTCTGCCAGCGAGGTTTCAAAAATTCTTATATTTTTGTGACATAATTGTCTTGAATGTTGTTTTAATAAAAAAATATGTGTGTAATCTGTATTTTCAAATATACTGGCATGATTCTCCGAACCTAAGATACCGAAACTGTTAGCTGCTATAAGATTATAAATGAATAAATAAAATTTATTTTAGACTGATGATAAATTTAGTTGTTAGTTAGAATCATACCAGAATCGACACCATTCTCTTCTTAAATTTTAACTTTATCATTGTTTATCACACCATCCATCAGAATATTAACCTCCCCACTTAAAAGCTCTTTTCCTATAGATGGAATAGGGGGCAATGTACCTTATTCTTTTTAAAACCATCACTCCATCTTTGTTAATTGTTTAAGTAAAAAGTATATTTAAACGAAATGGAACTAAAAATTGTATTCATAGCAATATATAGCAAAATCGTGTGGGTCCTAGTATGATTTGGGGTTGGTGCTCGCGACCTAGTCTGCGTGAAAACATCAGTTTCTTTTACAAATTTTAAACGTACGTTTTAACCCTTTAGGGAGAAATTTTTGAGAAATCCATTCTTAGTGCACGTCTACATCATAGTTGCTTTAAGTTTCGCCGCAATCCATTTAGGTAGTGGTTTGAGCTCTGCGTTAATAAATCAGTCATTAACGGTTATATTTTATATATACAGAAGATTGATAATGCTAATACTATCATTCGATTCGATTTCAGGTTCATGGCGGCCTATAGGCCACATGCGACCGTCGTCTCCTCTCTTGGACTCAGTCAGAGACCAATTTGAAGACTATGACCAGTTAGCCAAGGACTTCACTCGAGTATTCCTCAATAGCGAACTGAACGCATCACAGAACGCGCAGCTTTTCGACGTCGTGTTCCTGGTCGGGCAGTCCAAACAGAAGACCAAATTCATTGGAGTACGAGCAATACTAGGAGTAAGGAGCAGGTAATATTTTTAAAGACAGATTTTTAGTACTTACAACGCATCGCCACATTTGTTTTCGTTCGTCTTTTATCATGCCATATTAGACTTTTAACAAGCATCGGTGATTCAGTGGTAGAATCTTCACCTGCTACGCGGGTGGCCCGGCTTCTATTCCCAACTGAGAAAGGTCTTATTTTTATAATGATTCTAAAAATTACACGTCTTGTATTATGGTTTCATAAAGCTACTTATTTTTTTCAGTAATGTTGAATTTTATCAACGATATTAAAAACCCTAAAATGCCACGAGCCCTCAAAATGTGTTACAATCAAGAATTGCTAAAACACTACCTACTCAAGCACTTCTTGGTTCACAGTCACATGCGGACCGAGAACTCCATGAAAAAATACTTAAAACTAAATATAACAGCAGTCTCAAACTCAAACTCTTTATTTGCAAACTAACTGTTACGTACGGTTTTTAAACATCTCATCTTTTGATTCTCTATAGTTATAATGAAAAAGAGACACTGTCGTAAAATTTAAGTTTAGATTTAGAGAATCATGCCAAAGCCAACACCATTATCTCTTTTTCATTTCATAGAAATAAAGATAAGATTACCTATAAGTTAAGGTTAGGTTTTTTTTTTTGTCCACTACCCCTAGCACGAACCAATATCGAATTCGTAACATTTGCGAGTCCGAACTGTCAGTGTCAAATTTTGTATGGAAACTTGAACAGCAGCGTACGTAACGAGAACTAAAAATCAGTACACATTTGACAATGACAGTTCGGACTAGCAAACGTTACGAATTCGATATTGGTTCGTGCTAAGTGTACAGTTTGGACGTATTAGTGCTTTTGTGGGTTGACGCAAATTGTGTGTACGTGACAAACATAAAAAGTGGTAATTAAGAAGTCTCAACCACTTTCGACCCGAGGCTGCTAGGGATACTGCCAGGAGTGAAAGAGGTGTTAAAGTATAGACATAAGGTTAGGTTAAACATCCGGGTCCCCGGGTACAGTTGGAAGATTCTTCTTCAAATCGAGCGCAAATGAACCTTTTCGCAGGGTGTTCCAAGAGATGCTATACGGCATCCAGACGGGGTTCGGGTCCCCGCAAGTGCCGGTGGCTGAACTACTGGCGAGGCCGGCACCTACACTTCTATCGCCGACGCCCGCGAGACAGAAGAGTAGCAACTTCTTGCAAGTGCCTGATATTGAGTCGCCTAGGTAAGCGCACTACCAATTCATATCCTTTTCTGTGTCAGTTGCCTTCAGGTGCAGCTAGTTAAAGATGAAACCTGGGGGAACCCAGGTGAGCACACTGCCAAATAGTTTCTATGTCTTTAATCGGCACTACTAGCGCCTACGGTGCTGTCGTCCACGCCCGCGATGCAGATGACCAGCAACTTCTTGCAAGTGCCTGATATTGAGTCGCCTAGCTAAGCGCACTACCAATTCATATCCTTTTCTGTGTCAGTTAAACCTCACACTCTCCTTCGGGAGTAGCTACTTTTTTTTATAGATAGGTCCGACAAATGACTCCACCCTACCTGATGTTAAGTGAAGGTGAAGTCCAGACGCGAAGATAGCTGATACAGCAGTTCTATCTGCCACACCAGCCATCCTCATCCTGCCGGTCTGCATGTTGCTTCTTCACGCCTCTTTTAAAGGATCCCAGGTTGTAAGAGGGAGGGAACACGTGAGCGGGCAGAGCATTCCATTTACGGATGGTGTGACAAAGAAATGAGTCACCAAATTTCTTTGTACGCGTTGGAATTGTGGCCACAGTTAGACGGTGACAACGTAGGCCAGCGCGTGTGGTCCTCTGAAGGAAAGGGGAAGGTGGGACAAGAGAGAATAACTCCTCAGAACACTCGCCGTGGTACAAACGATAGAACGCGCTTAGTGACGCCACGTCACGACGTAATTGAAGAAAAAGTACTTAAACCTGAGGAACCTCAGGTGGGCGCACTGCCAACCGGTTTTATATCCTTAGTTGGCACTACTGGTGCCCACACTGCTGTCCCCCTCGCCCGCGAGGCAGAAGAGCAGCAACTTCTTGCAAGTGCCTGATATTAAGTCGCCTAAGTAAGCGCACTACCAATTCATATCCTTTTTACCCGGCTGCGCAATGCAAGAGCGCGAAGCGCGACGCGCAGACAGGGTTATGTGTTTAACAGTCTATATATGTATGTTTGTTCCTTTGTGGCACACTAGAGACCAAACGCCTGGACCGATTTTGATGATTCATACATCAATCGATTCGTCTCAATCATGGAAGTGCTACTAAAGATATGATAGTAATCAAAATTCAATATGGGCAACATTAGGCGCCATATTGTGACGAAGTAAAAAAAATAAGTTGACAAAATATGTCGAGTGGGGTATCACTGTCTAGATAATCAAAAATCATATTTAGGTTCCTAACACCATTTTTCATTTTATATGATTGTTTAGGATCTACAACGCTTTAAAGTTGTATATTAACCACTTGCGCTTTTAATTTCAATCTTACGTTTGTATGGATCTTTGTTACTCTTTCACCTAAAAAATACTGAATGGATTTTAATGAAACTTAACAGTAATATAGCTCATATATGATAATTACATATATATAATAATTTATGTAGTTATTGAGTGAATTGGCCAATATATAGCAATAAGTGTTACATAAGACGGAAAAAAATGTCCCATCTGCGAGCCATTTTGGCCTGCACTGCAAAAACAATAAAAGTTACATGAATGTAATGTAGAGTGAAAATGTATCTCTTAAATAGTTCTAAAAAAAAGTCCGTGACACCATATATCTATTTTTAATGTGTAAGTCATTACCGCTAAAATAGTGAATCAAAACTAAAATATTATTTGATATCTATTTCCAAAATGCACATTTTGTATAAACAAATCATTTTTTATCAAAACAAATACTTTAATCGCTTTTGATATGTAAAGACGATAAACTTTGCTTTTTACACTGTGTCATATCGACAAATATTTAATAAAAAGTTACAACGATGACAAAGTGATAGCGCGGTGTACTATGTAAAAGAAAATTTGATAATAAATGCGATTGCTATGGTGCTCTACCTAACGTTATGAAAATTTTATTATGCGCCTTTAGTTTAATCAAATATTATAAACTTTGCTTTGGTGATTGCATAATTATTTAATTTAGTGACCTAAGGCAGTTGCCACCATTGTCCAAAACAACAGACGGGAATTACTTCTTGCTTCAACCTGCGACATAAACGTCATTGATTGGTATTGTATATAGGGTGATTAACAACATTTGAAGTTAACTTCTGGCATCTACATATTGGGTTTCTGTGAATTATGTAGGTATATCAAATTAAGTGACTAGGGACTGACACTGAATTTGTGTATATCACATTTTTTGTTTTAATCTAAGATATCACAATCTTAGACGTCCGGCATTGACATGACAATGCAGCCACTGCCAATTTTAAATAGTGGACGAATAAAAGTAAATGAGTTTTATATTTACTGCTAAACTATTAAAAAAAACATAAACAAAAGATCACTTTTTGAGTAAGTGCTAGTTTACTATAAAATTTACATACATTAGTGATATTTATGTAACGACTTGATTTAACTTCACACATTTTTGCGAAAATTGAGGCCCATCTGTAGCCTTGACCCCGCTGGTAAAGTCTTTATATGTCTTAATAAATCAATCTTTTAGACCGACGCAAGGTACTTAATAATTCCCGCGATATTAATTCCCTTAGTGAAGTAACAAGACTACGGTATATACCGTCTTAAAATACTAACTAAAAAGTGTGAAATAAAAAAGGTAAATTTAAAAAATCAAAAAACCCGACTGCTTAATTATTCTTCAAATAAAAACTGAAAAGAAAAAAACAAGTCCAGTAGTCTATAATTCTGTTAATAAGGAACAAAGCTACTTTAACAGTCGGGACCCACTGTTGAAAAATATTATGTATTCTTGAATATCTAATGGGTCCCGACTGTTAAAGTAGCTTTGTTCCTTATTAACAGAATTATAGACTACTGGACTTGTTTTTTTCTTTTCAGTTTTTATTTGAAGAATAATTAAGCAGTCGGGTTTTTTGATTTTTTAAATTTACCTTTTTTGTATCAGTTAATTACCTTCAGGTCTAACTAGTTAAAGGTGAAACCTAGGGGACCCCAGGTGAGCACACTTCCCGCGACCTTCGTCGGTCCACCTCGTAGGGGACCTGCCCACTGAGAAACATAATATATGGGTACTATAAATTATATTTTATAACTTTGATGTAGAACAATGATTTTCAAAATATGGCACATGACCCCCAGAAGGACCCGTTCAGGGATCTTTGCTGAAGAGTCGTGGGCAAAATAAAAAAAGGTATTTACGGGATTGTTACCATGCACCCCGCTTCCAACGAGTTTCCGATATTTCGGCACTGTTGCAAGCGCCATGATCGCCACGCTGGAAGCGGGGTGCATGGTAACAATGTCGTAGATAACTTATATTACTACTAGCTGACCCAGCGAACTTCGTACAGCCATAAAGAAATAGGGGTTGGTGGTAGAAATGTGAAAATTTAGGGTTGTAATAATTTACTAATGCTGTATCATAAAAAAAAAATAAAAAAGTAAAAATATCTAAAATTGAAAAAAAAAATATTTAGGGGTGGATTACCCTTAACATTTAGGGGGATAAAAAATAGATTACATCCGATTCTCAGACCTACTGAATATGCATATAAAATTTCACGAAAATCTTTCGAGCCGTTTCGGAGGAGTTTAACCACAAACACCGCGACACGAGAATTTTATATATAAGATAATGTTAGTGACCCTGAAAGTTTAAAACAAAAATAAAAAAGGTTGTGTTTCTAGGTCCTACACTAAATTAACTAATTGAAACCTATATTTCTTAATGCTTTTATTTTGAAAATGACCTTCATTAATGATAACGTTAGTCGCAAGTGACTATTGTAGGTATTCTCATCCTAGGATTCACTTTAAAAATATAGTAAAAATAAAAGTTCAACGTATTAAAAAAAAACACACTGACGTTGACAATACAATACATACGTTTAATAAACAAATATGGGTACTTTAGGAATAACTTTTTATTTGATCTAATGCCAGAAGCAATTAGCGTTTTTAAATTGAAATTAATAGCTACCTCTCTACAGAAATTTTCACCGTTCACTAATAACATGCAAAATATGCAATAATAACATATTCTGCGTGGTCTTGTTAATCCGTAGTGAGTTTGAAACGGGACCAAGGTCGATATGAATTATCACCGGTCAACTAAAAGTAGGCGGGCGAGTTAAATTCCGCCAACGTCTCAATTCTTCAAAACTAAATGCCGAGATTATATTGTGGAAGGCATTGTGTGTACGCAATATGTTATAGTTTGTAATATTAACGTTTCTTGTAATGTCAACTTATTTCCCGTTTAAAAAGCTCTGATATTGTTATTTTATTTATTAATTTATTTATTTTTCTTTAACAAAGTTTCTACAGCGTTTTTCTTTGTGGATTTAATACAATAAAATACAATACAATCTTAAGGCCAATTACAGAAACTCATTGTGTACACATTAGATACTAACGACGTTACTATATATCAGTATTTATTATATTTAATTTTAAAAATTATATATAAATCATATGATTTACTAAAATAAATAATGAAATTAAATTAAGATCGTACAGAACAAAACATAACAAAAAGACAAAAAAAAAGAAAAACAATCACTAAATACTCATACAAAAGGGTTTTCAAAGAATTTGTCACATGATAACCTTATGAAGTGTGAGTGTGTGTGCGTGTTATGTATGCGTGTGCGTGTGTGTGTGTGTGTGAGTGTGTGTGTCCATACAGCTGCAATGCTGTGCTTCATAACGAGATGACGGGCACCGCGCCACGGGCACTACATCATTAAAGTAATTCAGTGTGAGTGCTTTAAATTGTAATTGTACATGCAGATTATGGTAATGAGAAACTACATAAAATTTATTGAGGCTGCTGTGTTTTTACCTGCTTTTCTTAATCCATAAAATAATTAGAAATTTATTTAAACTGTATCATCACTTCAATGTTCAGTCACTATATTTTTTAACACTTTCTCAGTACGTTGAGTATCGTGCGTCACGCAGTAAGTTATTTTAAAAGTCATTAAAAGTCATAAAGTCATTGATTTTTTACAAATAGGCTTATAAAAAGCGTTTTTACACGTTCCAGTATTACTTTATAGGTACCACTGCTCCGGATAAATAAATGATTATAATGATTATGATTAAAGTTAACTGAAACGTAAGAAAAAGAGAACTTTTCATGAGTTGTGGGGAAAGCGAGCAGACTGACCGTCCACCTGATGGTAAAAGTGAGATTAAAACTCATTGGTAATGGTAGTCGTCACAGCCACCAAGTAAATGCAGGTTGTGACGCAGTAAACAAACAGTGTAATAAGTAGTTACGCTCGCTGCTAACTTTACACCCGCTATAAAGTTTGAATCGCACTATACTAGTCAAAATAATGTTATTAAAAAAACACTACCATCAAGCTGCTCGTTAAGATGCCGGCACTATCTTGGGCCATCTTCTATGCTAAATTAAGAATAACATCATTTAGCAATCCATGCATTGTCATCCAAACTTAATGCGTTTGCAATATTTCATCTCAATCAGGTCACTACACTACACTCATGGTCAATTTAAAATTCAGTGGCAACATTTGATAAAAAAAATACACACATACATTTACGTCTGAAAGTTACCATCACTTAACATCAAGTGGGGTAGAGTTATTGCCTCCCTAGCAATAAAAAATACTTGCAAATTAAATCAAAGCTTTTAATTCAAAACACATTTGTTCTAGACCCAAGAGCGTGCCGAGCTCCCCGATGGTAAAGCGCGCGTTCTCCCGCCTGGGCACCATTACCGCCGGCTGGGGCCGCTCCATCCGCAAGCAGCACTCGCAGCTCAATGCCGACGACAAGAAGAAGTGGGCCAGCTCGCAGGACTGTTCCAGTCAGTACCGTAATCCTTACTTATTTAAAAAAAAGGCTTCATCATCATCTCACCCTCATGATCATCTCAGATGTCTTCTCTGCTCACCTTGCCAGACCTCACCCACAATCCCGATACGCATTCTAAATATCTCCCTTGCCAGTCTTAGCGAGTCACCACAACCACATCCGTACTCGTGATAGGCATAAGGAGGTACTCAGTCCTTAGAATGCCTGAATGATGTTGTCTGGTGTTTAGCAAGAAGGGACCCGCTTCCTCCCCAAGCAGCATTCGCAGCTCAATGCCGACGACAAAAAGCTGTAGGCTTTTGTCTTTTGAAGACTGCTGAAGTCATTACCTCCTTGTTTCATAAATCATCATCAGATGTCCCCAGGATCTATCATCATCAGATGACCCTTCTGCTCACCTTGCGAGTGCGTGGCCAGTCTTAACGGTTTGCCATGACCACCCGTGATCGATACAGAAGTATTGATCGAGTATAAAAGAAATGAGCTCGATGAAATCGCATAATTCTCGTCGCGCTTCTCCCGGTAGGTGGAGGAGGCGTCTTGCCTTTTTCAGATATGCTCAGCACAACCTTCCTTAAGGACGCAGCTAACGACTGCAATGCACGCGGGACAGACATCTTCACGTGTCTTCCGAAGCACGATGGAGTCCGAGACAATAAACCCTATGACTGGGCACTTTGTGGCCTTCCTGCAAAACCTTAGTCTTTCCATATATCCTCTGGTCCTCTGCCTGCTGACAGTACTTACCCACTGCTTTCTACGTTTTAAGTTAATATCTGACAGCTGAACTGTATTAATATTTAACTTAGTTGTAAGAGGGCATCCCATCTCACATTGGTTGGCAAACCATGCAAAATACTGTCATATTAGTAGAGATCACTAACGATCGCGTCATTCAACGTCAACTATGATTACAGATAAAGAGGGAAAAGATAAAGACAAAGACAAGAACGCTGCTCTGGCGGTACCAAGACTGTCGGTGTGCGCAGACGCGCAAAAAGTTGATCGTGCCAAACTTGCACAGACTGAAGTAAGTATTAAGTTATACAGTGCGACCAAGATCTTGTGGCACTTAAGCCGGGTACTCATTAGCGAGCTGAAACCGTAACCGTTGCATGCACTGTAACCAAAAAACATAGGGTGTACGTGGTTCGCTAACCTGCAGCGAGCAGTACGCGAGCGGTTTCTGTTACCAAAAACATATTGTGTACGTGGTTCGCGAGCCTCCAACGAACGCTACACGAGTGATTCGCAGCGAGCCGACGATTGTCGATTTTTGCCGCGAACATAAACCAACACTGCGCAGATCCGACTTGTCAGTAGCCTACTCGTACACACTAGAACCTCGTTACTGTACATGTTTGGTTACAGTTACAGTTCTAAAAATGAGTATGCTCGGTGAAAGCGTTCCGGCGACGTCGTGAGCCTAAATTGTAACAAGCGTACACACTTGAACCTCGTAGTGTATCACGCATGTTACGGTTACAGCTCGCTAATGAGTACCCGGCTTTAGATGACATTGACAGGAGAGAGCTGCTAGTGAATAAGTGGTAAAAGGAGAGTTAATATGTACGTAAAATCTCCCCAATAAAGGGAACGTTATAATATTACAATAACTAACTCGGAAAGAGTTATAGGCTTATTTACATCTTTCTCTATAGAAAAAGGCGTATTTATACCTTCCTAAAATAAGTTCCGAATTCGGCCACCTGTCATAAGATCTCGATCGCACTATAATTAATAGCTTAGCTGTAGAGCTCTTTTACATTTCCGAATCTTGTTAATTTGTATTGACGTTGAAGTGGAGAAGTCACATTCACATCCGATTACGGACAATCGTGTCTAGTAAACAAATGTCCATCTATCTATATATATATAAAACTCAAAGGTGACTGTCTGACTGACATAGTGATCTATCAACGCACAGCCCAAACCACCCGACGGATCGGGCTGAAATTTGGCATGCAGGTAGATGCTATGATGTAGGCATCTGCTAAGAAAGGATTTTGATCAATTCTACCCCCAAGGGGATAAAATAGGGAATGAAAGTTTGTATGAAACTTTGTCAGTTTTAAACCGATCGGGCTAAGACTTTGCATGCAGGTATAAGAAGAATCATAGATGAATGTCATTGTGTATAATACTAGCCTACTAGCGGGCCGCTAGTAGGCTAATCAATTTGCAAACTGTTTTATTTTTATATTAAAAGGGTAGCATACAAGCACATTTCCGACTTAATGGTGCGGCAGTTTATAACTGCTGTACCAGCTATCTTCGCGTTTGGACTTTATCACCACTCAACATCAGGTGGGGTAGAGTCATTTGCCTACCTGGCTTTATATAAAAAAAAAACGCCCAACAGTATTACTCACGTTTTTCCTACATTAACTCCATTACCGTAAGACCTTTACCCACCGTAAGAAAGAACACAAAACCGTCTTTTGTAAGGTTACTTATCCAATTCGAGCACAACATCCGTTATGCACTCGGTTCCATTACCAGCCTATTAATGACCCCACAGATAGGGCCAGACCTTCCATAGATGAAATAGGGAGGTTTGTCTATAACAGACGATGGTATCGACCGACTGTAAATGCAAGCGGAGCCAACGGCTTCACGTGCCTTTTTAGCACGGAACACATATGTAATTATAATAAAATTTTGGTCAACTATATATTGGTAAATTATATGACAAATGTTCCTTCCCAGATAGGTAAGAAATCTTCCTGCATCTGCTGGGTTATGTCAGACTCTTACTGACTAAAACGCACCAAAGGGGGGATGCCTTTAGCCTAAGGATCATAAAGGCTTTGTCTGAGGCTATAATCCCCTAAGAGGATGATGCAGCTTACCTTTCACAATAGAAATCCGAAAGCACTACAAAACGCCAGCAAACCCCTCGCTCCATTTATCTTAAACTGTAGCAATTACAATTGTCTTTGCTCCAACAGTTCTCAATAATCGAATTCGACCCCGAAACGTTCCGCATCCTGCTGGACTACCTGCACACGGGCAGCTGCCCGCTTACGTGCGCCTCCATCCCAGGGCTCATCTGCGCCGCCGAGCACTACGACCTGCCTGAGCTGCTGCAGGCCTGCTTCCACCATGCCAAGCAGTTCCTCAGGATAGAAGTAGTACGTTGTTATCAAAGATATAGGAAAGTGACTGCAGATTTTTTCTAGGCATTTTCTAACATACAGCAAATAGCCTAGCCCCAAGGTAAGCACTGTAAGTCTTGTATTATGGGATGCTCATCTGCGCCGCCGAGCACTACGACCTGCCCAAGCTGCTGCAGGCTTGCTTCCACCACACTTAGCAGTTCCTCAGGATTGAAGTGGTGTGTTCATCTCATACGCATAGGCATATACATTAGAATATCTGCGCCGCCGAGCACTACGACTTGCCCGAGCTACTGCAGGCCTGTTCCACCACCCCAAGCAGTTCCTCAGGATAGAAGTAGTGCGTTGTTCTCATGAAATTGACTGCTCTCTAGCTAGAATGAGATTGGGCAGAAAAGCAGTAACAGACGAAACGATCGAACGACTTGTCCTTAAATGTCAACGTGGTCGAATTTATCTGACACTGGCTATCCTTAGGCAAAGTATAAGGAGAATAGACTGAGTGTATAGTATTCTCTTTAAGTCTATTGGTTGGTTTCCTTGGCACTCCTTCATGCGCCGTGCCAAGAGCAGGGTAGATACAGAGATTAAATTTCATCATCATTATCATCAAACGATTAATTGGGCAACTGCCCTTCCCTATGGATGGAATAGGAAAATTTAGCCATGACGTAGGCCCAATGTCTATCAGTGCGTACTAAGGACTGCAGATGCAACCGGAACTCACGGCTTAACGTGCTTTCGAAGAAGCTCATGATACTATATATTTAGTCACCAGTCCTAAGTCCAGACACTGCAAGTGTTGCTTGCTTTCCACGATTCAGATCGAAAGAGTTAACAATAATAACTTAATTTACCAGTGTCAAAATTTGGACTTGTTTGAATCTTTAGTCAACTTATTAATAAACGAAGATTAGTTACTCCATGTTTTGTCTGAGTCTATTGAATGACAAATGGTATTTGTGTGACATGAACAAAAGACGGCGTAACTAGTCTAAGCTCATTCCTTGTTTATTAATAATAAATTTATTAATAAGGGGATTGGGGTATAGTGGTTTTTGCAGTCATGCAGTTATACGTGTTAGTCCTATAATAAACTAAAAACGATAGAAGTATGAGAGGGCGACATAAATACAGCGTTGACCTTGCTCTAATATAATTATGAAGATCGATAATGATCTCTGAAGATATGGCAGTTGCGTCAACTTGTGTCCCATAAATTTTAATATAAATACTTATTTTTATATTCGTGAAATACTTTCGGTGAAAATGAGATTTGCTTCACCATATTGTTTTTCACAACCTTCTGTTATGACTTACTATATTGCTATACTTAACAGCAATTCAAACGTTGATTCAATATGTTTTCTTTCTCAGGTATGCACTATGCTCATATCGTTAGAGAATTATTACTGGCGGTATACGTCAGCATCAGAATTGGTGAACATGATCCTAGCTTTTATCGAGCAACGCGCTTATGCACTGTTCCAAACGCCCGAATTCCTCAACCTGTCCGAATCCATGGTGCAGATGATAATGTGCCGAAACCTTGAAGTGCCCGAAGTGAGGAAGTTCGAAGCGATGCTCAGCTGGGCCCGGAACAAGATCAAATCTAAATCCGCAAACAAGACTGATGCCAAAAATGAATTTAAATGCATTATGGAGAGGCTGGCCAGAGATTTGAAGCTGTACAGAATTTCACCGCAGGAATTGATAAAAGTCGTCCTTCCCTCGAAGGCGATCAAGAACGAACGTATTTTAGAAACTCTGATGTACCAGGCCAACTCGGGAATGTACAGAATCCAGGACAGCTACCTAGAGGCCTGCCAGCAACGCTTGCAGAAGCAGGACTCGAGGTTCTCGGAATTCGAAAGTTTCGACTACGGTATATAAACTTGGAGCTGTGCGGAATATCAGTGTATTAGATAGATTTATGAAGAGTGTACGGACTGGGTCCTTCTTAAATTGTGGTATGTTGACGCCTTCTAAAAAGTATTATTGTTATAGATGTACTTAAGTAGAGGTGCGAGAAATATTTGTATACACTTCTCGGATACCTATTCCTTGTTGTTGTTCATTGATACCTATATTTTTTACATCTAGCTAGATGTGTTCAACATAATCGTGTCTATTTTTGGTACCATGTTGCGACTCATCTTTTTGTCTGGCAACACTTAGTTTAACAACAAATACAAAAACGTTTGCCTCTGTGATCCGTCAGTGAGAATTCACTTCCACTGAAGTTATTTTATATTTTTGGTTGAGTTTATGATATAATCACTTGGAAACCCATTGAGAATAAATGTAAAATCCAAAGCTAGCTTACGATGTAGTTTTATTGGATCCGTAATAAACATTCCCAGTGGTATTTCCTTAACTCGTTACATAGTTTCAAGTTTTCTACACTGCTTTGTATTACTACTACAATAATATGGTAAATGGGTTGCAGAAAGTAATTTTATATTAATTTCATAATATGAAATTGACTGATTCTTGAAATTACTCAAGTGAAATTATTCTAAAAAATACGTTTAATTACTAAACTCCTGTAATTATAAAAATAAATGTTGAAACTAGTTATTATACAAGATCTAAGTACTTATAAAAATATTATTTGAATCTTCGTTAGTAGAGTTTTGAGAAATCATCATAGACTCGGGGTCTCGTAATGTCTGCTTCACTTTAAATAGTGGAAAAGTTGTAAAGACGATGACGTCACTAAAGATCATTGTCGTTTTATGAATGTTTATGAATATTTTGTGTGAAATGGACATAGTAAATGTATTATTACTTTCAATTCTCTTTATGAAACTGACTTCCGACAAATCTAAGCATTTAGTCTTATTTTTACTGAGTAACTATATATCGCACAATTTACAAAACGTACTCGTAAAATATCCTACACAGGCGAGGGACTTTCGTCCGCCGACTTTTTGTCCCCCAAAATAGATCGCTTATGACTGCAACTAGTAGCACAATAGAGGGATTAAAAGTACCGAGTACAAAAATCCCCCGAATAACCGTGGAAGCCGAGGTACCGAACTGGGAAAAAGTACGGTGGTGTCCCCGAAAAATAAACAGAACTCATGTGACTAGACGCAGCAACGCACACAGCGAACGTTAAGTGTCGCCGCACACGAGCCACACGCCACAGCCACAAACGCCGCCACGAGAAGCTAGAAGCGGCTACTAAAGTGGCTGAAGCGCGCGACAGCGGCCGACTAAGGTAAGGGAGAGAGGAGTGGGGAATCGCGCGAGTGACGTGTGGCGGCGTTTTGTATCGGCGCACAAAGTGGCCGGTGCGGGCCACAAGAAGCAAGTAACGACGATTTGGAGCGTGTGGCGACCACCGGCGTACCGTGTGTGGTGAGTCCATACAAAATGTATGAAAACTACATGAAATATGCCGGTGGCGGCGTTTTGTGGTTTTGGTCGGTGGCCCGTGTGCGGCGACACTAATCCGCGTTGCGCTCGGTCCGACTTAAATAGATTTCTATCAAAGTATTCTCTAGAATGCGAAGAGATGGCGCTGCCTTGCAGCTTAAGAAAAGCTAGAAAGAGTTCGATACGGCCGGCCATCAGTGCCACGGTAGCATAATGGGCAGCAGTACATTCGCCCTGATACGGAAGGGTGCGGGTTCGAGTCCCGTCTGCTGCCTGGTCCGCGTGGATTTTTTTCTAGTAATATTTTCTTTAGATTTAAACATCGAGCAGTTACATACTTAAAAAAAGTAATTTAGTATTCAACATGTCTTTTTCTGCATTTTAATGATTTTTTTCTTTAGTACACAATATTGTAAGTACAATCAGTAGCACATTGTACTCGGATTGTCGCTGGCTTTACAACAATTATAATACTCTAATTGTAAACTGTTTAATATATTTTTTTTATTTATATAAGTTGTTCATAGTTACAATGCTAGAAATACGTATATGTAGGTTATAGTTTGTTCCTGGACCATTGTTAATTAATTAATACTCTTATCACAATAACTTATTTTGTGTCTTTACAAATAAATAAATAAATTACGACACAGAGAATTCTCCGGGCGCTTCTTTTAATTTTCGGCCATAAATGTTCGCTCGCCGTGTGCGTTGTCTGTTACGATTTCTCGACGGACATTTGGGGTGTATTCCGTAATATATACCAGTATACTGGCCAGTGCTAATGACGTCATGAATCGACGCTATACTGGTGAATTGTTCCGAAATATAGCGGCCAGTGCATTGACATAAATCCACGAAATATTAAAAATAGTGCGAAAAAAGAAGATTTTTTTATTCACCTCATCAATTAAAAGGAATTCTTTTTATTCGGATGCCATTATTGTTCTTTAAATAAAATTCGAATGCATCTCACGCACGCTCGGTCGTACGTCATATTCGTATTCCCGGTAAAAATATGGTAGCATACCAGTACAATATGGCGTCGGATTCGTGACGTCATTATAACTGGCCAGTATACTGATGTATATTTCGGAATACTCCCTTGTTTCACGGTGCAGAGACTTGTCCACCGACCGCGAACGAAAGTCCCTTGTCTGCGCAGACCATTAAGTTGATTTTGGGTTACTATTAAACGTCTGTCTCTGTATATAACTGATTGTCTATAAGGTTCATGTGCTATAGATACATATCCTTGCTTAGCCGTTTTATCATGGTAGATTTGTAATGGAAATGTCTTTCGAATGTTTAGATTGTTACTGTTTATAGATATTTTAGTTGCGAACCTAAAACGTTGTTTTATACGCTATCTAAAATAAAACAAAATTTAAGCGACCAACATCCAATAAATTAATGTTTTTTGAATTATAATCTAAAAAAGAAAGTATTTTTTCTTCTAAATTTGTTACACATTATAGTAATATAAGTTATTTACGGGATTGTTACCATGCACCTTGTTTTTAGCGAGTTGGTAACAATCCCGTAACATAAATTATATTACTATAATGTTAGTGACCATGAAAGTTTAAAACAATATATTGTTACACATACAATATGAAACGAAAACCAATAAAACGATAGATTATTATTTTCTCTAAAGATCCACTGTTGTTAACAAGTCTACTAAACGTGGGACACAGTCGAATCTTCTTTATAACAATAAAATATTTTTATAAAGTTGCCCAATTTCGTGGCATTAGGGCCGATTTACACCAGAATGGCAGCCCTCGGCAGCCAGCACTTTTTCACTAAAAGTAATGTGAATCAATTTTAAACTAAAGTTTCAAATAATTTCACATTGCCTTCAGTAGATGTAGACAAATCTAGATACTTCAGGGATCTTTCACAGATATGAATAGATGTTTGACTATTTTAGAAAGTAAGATATCTCATACAAAACATTTTTTTGTTACGCTTAGAGTCAAATAAATTACATGAATTCTGAATGTGGATTGTAGAGCTACAATATAAGACAACACCGTTTTAAGCGCACAATAATTGCAAGCTGGCAACTTGTTGTGACAGTTCTATTTGAAAATAATATTGCTAACTTGGTACCTATTGGTACATACATATTTATATTCTTACATACCTAAAGGTGTCTTTTTCATCATATATTCATAAAGAAGAAGAATTAAAGCAAAACTATCCTCCTTACTCAAAAAACCATACACATTGACAGGCAGTTTTTTTTACATTGACAGCTTTGTAAACACGCCATTGCTTTACTTTTAAACAAGCGGCTGCTTCACTTTATCACTTTGCAAACACGTGGTTGCTTCACTTTGCAAACACGTGGTTGCTTTACTTTGCAAACACGCTGTTTCTTAACTTTGCAAACACGCGGTTTTGCTTTACACGGTAAACGCAGTGCTAAGCACATTGCTGTTTCTAAGACTTATGTACACGCACTCCAACAGCGACTGTGTAGAATTGGGCTAAGACTTAGACTCTAAGCTATACAATGAGGGTGTTTAGGAAGCTTTACGCCACCTGTAGGCGCCACTGTTACATGAGGTCTAAGATATTAAGTTTTTGGCGTGAATTAATCGAACGAGCATTTAAATTGACATAAACATGACGTCATAGGTGGTTTAACGGATTAATAGACCTTTCGTCTCTGTGCTGCTACGCTTAGTGCTAAGAGCTATGCTACTCGTTTGCGAAATAATCATAATGAATATGCGAATTTCATCTGGTTATCAGGTGACACGCCAAGGAAAGTGAATTGCCTACTTAGATCCCAGGTAATCTTTAAGTTTGCCCCTGTATTGAGACCTTAGTCAGGCCAGACGCGCGGTATAGTCGTTTGGCACTTCTTTACATCTCATACATCATCTCGTGTAGTACCAAACGGTACTGTCGTTACGTCTTATTCATATGCAGCAGTATAATTTAGATTATTTTCTGTTGTTTGGCAATGTACAATTTATATTTATGTCGATTTATGGATGAAGTCAATACAATCTATACGTTAAGTTCGTTGACATCTAATAAAGTTATAGCTACAGTGGGGTTTCCTCTGTCTGATAGAATCTTGTTGCTCCGAAATTCATTTGGCATAACACATTTGGCATTATCTTCGTTAAACGATTATTTTAAAAGCATATTTTTTGTAAACACATAATCTTATTGTTTGGCTGAATGTTTTAATACGTGTGAATTCACAATAGCATAGTTTTAAGATCCCAGATTGCATTGATTAAGAAGAATTACCTTTGGCAAAATTTAATTCTGAATAAATACTTTAAAAAGAAATAAACAACGGAATACGAACAGTATACATATGGTGTTTGGGTTATCTTACGAAATATGAAAGAGAGATCGCAGCTCAGACATCTATATTTAGTAAGTTGCTGTTGCTCTGGCTAATAAAAAGTGAAAATTAAATTTTTTTTCACAAAAAATATAAACTGACTTCATTCATAATAACAAAACCACAAAAAAAGTAATTAAGCGTTTGAATGTCTGCTAAAGGAGTAAATGCCAAATGATTTTCTGCGAAATGATAAAAAAAACATCCTCTTTTAGAACCCCGTAACTTTTCGTGATAAAAGGATTTAAAGAATGTTATCTGGAGAACAGGTAAACAAACAACACAATATCCTAGTCGAGATTCAAAAATCTATAAATAATACTCCTAGGGCAAAATATTATAGTCGGAAAATATTTTTTATCGAAATTATGTGCCAATCGTACAAATCAATTTCCCAACAAAATAAAAAACTACAATTTTCTAATTTATTATATATCTAAAACAAAGTATATAACTTTAAAAAAAACTGTAAAACCTTACGTGCATTATCGCACACGAAATATTTAATTTGCATCGTCTTTATAAAATTCTTTGCTGTTCCAAAGAAAAACCTAAATTGCTGTTAATAACAGAAACAGTGCTTTGTGTAAGCTGAAAAATAACTTTCGGTACTTATATTTAATTATAATTTATTATTTTACGTTATTTTTAGGTATGAGTGTCCAACTCAGACTGCGTAGCTATAGTCTTCTGTATTTATCTATAAATATTATACCTTCGACTCAAATATCTAGAATTATTAGTAGGTAAAGCAATGTATTTTATGTTGAAACTTACTTGTTAAAGAAATAACATCTTCTGTACCAAACGTTAGGTACTTACCCACTTCTAAAGTCTTTGTATAAAAATTGAATACTATGTAAAGACCCGTTTCACATAATCTTTTATGAGTAATAATTTTTCTTTATGCGATTTACTCAAAGCTTAAAACTTTTTAGTTTTGTATGTAATACAATTTTCTCTTTGATTTGCACTTGATATGTCCTAATTTAATAACTATAAATTGGCATTTATCTTGTGTAGTTAGTTCTATTGTTTTAATGTGAATCGGGCCTGCAATCTTAATGAATTGTTTAATAAATAGGTGTTAATATATAAATATATAGCCTAAAATTAAAGCGTTTCTAGAGTTCTGGAAGAAAACAAAATAAAGAAATATGAAAGTTGAATCGTCAGTAAATTTTTTATACTTATGAGAATATACAAAAATCTTATAAATATATATATGTAAATCTTCTTATTGTGAAATCTTTGTAAACGGTTGAGTTTGCCTCAATTTTGCTCAAAGCTTCGAAATTATATGCCGTTGACTGTTGTAAAAAACATACATTGCATTATGTATATCTGTACTGTGGACGCTATGGAGCTGTTTTGCATAGCCATCTAAACATATATTATTATGTATTATGAGTTTACATTATAATTATATTATAATACTCATACATACGTATATCTATAGAATTAATTTGTAGTAACACCAATTTATAATTACGTGTGGAGATCTATAAATGATCATATGAGTTTTCTATTCAAAAATTTTACCTCCCTGTGATCGTGTATGTTGCTATAGAAATATATTATTATG